GGGAAACAACACAGGGTGGGTACAGAGAGGATCACACTGGCTGGGGGATGTTCCAGTGGGCTTTTCTGTCTTTTTATGGAACAGAAGTGGATTTACAGGGATCAAAAACAAGGTTCCAATAGCAGCTTCCCCTGGCCACACAACCTTCAAGAGCAGCACATTTTCCAAACTACATGATGAAAAATCATGCTCATACACTCTAAGGCGTGCAATTTCCTTTTATTTTCCTCTGAAGAAAGCAGGAAAGGGTGTCCTCAGGCACTGTGAAAGCACTAAGCACAAAGCCTGGAAATTATCAGCTGCTCTGCAAAACAGGTCCATGGTAGGAGCTAAGAAATAAAGGCTCATTTGGGAGTTAAGAAGGTGGGATGCATGATTGTATGTCTGGGGAGCAGAGGAGGGTATGAAAGTTGTAGCTACACAGAAGGCTAAAATGTGGCAAAGGCAGGCTAAAACATGTCTGCAAACATTTGTCCAAGTAATTCTCAATTGTTCCAGCTGCTTTTCAGTTAATGATATTAACATCGCTTCATTCAGAGAATGTTTCTTCTTGGCAGAGAGGTTCATAAGTGGGAATGGGAAGTTGACCAGATTCCACTCAGCTTCTGGGCAGGATTCACATACAAATTTATACTGTGATGTCCTCTTTCAGGACAGCTTCCAGAGGACAAACTTTTGCTTACATTTTGCATATAATACTTATATGGTATTTAGATGGGCTACCACACTCCTTGCATGCTGCATGAAGCCAGGGAGAGTAAATACATGTGATCTTGGCTTTGTCATATCAGTCATATGAATCCTGTGAAGTTTTTCTGGACTATTTAAATGTTTGGTATTACAATTATTAAACGTGCACGCACACACAAAATAAACTAAACAGTTAATACAATATCCTCATCAACTCATAGAAGTACAGGTGGGAAGGGATGTCTGGATGTCTCTAATTCAACCTCCTACTGAAAGCAAGGCTAATGACAGAAAGCTTCTCATAGTTTTGTCTGCCTGTCTCTCTAAAACCCCCAAGGATGGAGATCCCACAGCCTAGACAAGCAATAATATTCATTCAAAGAGAGTTCTTGGTTTAAAAGGAGACCTAGGAAGCTTATGGAAAGAAAATAAATCTGCACAACCATATCAACTCCATCAGTGCAGCCCCAGTATTGGCAGTTTGAAACCTCCAGTCCTGTTCAGTGCTTGGCTCCAGGAGTGGCTGTCAATGGCAGAAGACCACTGCAGGATGGAAGCTGGGAGCAGGTTGCCCATCCTCGTCTGGCCTCTCCTCTCTGTCCCTCGGTCTTCAGTCACAGCACCCAACACCACAGATCAGCTGTGGAAAAAGGGAGAAATGGGCTCTGGAGCAATGTCCTAAGAGTTTGCAGGGAGAGCAGAACCCAGCCTTATTCACCACCAATTCACCATCCCCAGCTGTACCTGCTCTTCCATAGCTCACCATGAGACTTTCAACACCAAAGGTCCAAGACTTTGACAGAAGAGCCAAATAACCCTGACAGCACATGGAAAAGGAGAATTGGGTTCTGCTATCCCAGATGAGTCCAGCTGGAAAGGAGATGACAGCTACAAGCTGAGGTGTGCTTTTGCTCCAGTGCTGGGCTCTGCCTGTCAGAGACACATTTCTCCTGCTGGCGCCTCTGCCATCCCTTTGCCTTTTTGTCCCTCGCATATAGTGTCAAGCAGGCCCAAGCAGGAATTTTTGCAGCATATTATACTATTGACTGGAAGTGCAAGTACCCAGCTCTCGGACATCAGTGAGGAAGAGTCAAGCACCTGAGTGCTGCAACACAACTTTGTGTCTTGCATTTATTTACAACTGTCACCAGAGAAACTAGAGAAGGCACAAATCTTAGCCAAGGCAAATTTATCCCTTTCACCTTAATTTCCAGCATCCCCATGGGTCAATCAAAATAGATCTTCCCCCAATAACAAGAGCTGTGGCAATCAAGAAAACTGTCTGCAGCTCCCCTGGAAAAGGTCTTCAGCCCCCCTTGCTTGGGGAGGCTGTTTCATGATGGGGCCGATGCTATGACAGCCAGTGCAAGCTGTTTATCAGCTCTGAGCACGTAACATTTTCATAACTACGGAGGAAACGGGGGTGGCGTGCTGTGGCAGGGGGAAGAATGGGCTGAAAGAGATAGCGGCCTGCCCTCCAGGGATGGGTCCCCAGGGCAAAGGGTGCACGACTTGCCCTAGATTTTTTTTTTCTGAGATCTGAATGTATAATTGCAGGAGGAGACAAGGGAGAAAATGAGCTGAAGACTCGTAACTGCAGAGGCCGGTCCCTGTGAGCAAAGGGCCACATGTCTCCTTTTATCGCCAGCCATAATTCCCTCCTTGGCTCAAAGGCGGCTGTGAAAAGAGCAGGACTGGTTCAAACTTCCTTGGGGTCTCCGTGGCAACGAGCCCTGCAGGAGCCTTTTCTTCCTTTCCCCCCTTTCCTCTTTTGTTGTTGTTGTTGTGTCATTAAAACTTCCCTTGCCAAAGGCCCGGATTGAATCCCTACCAGGCTGCTCTGCAGGCACTGCTCCAGACCTCCTGCCAGCCTCCAGCCAGCTGCCCTCGCCTCGCTCATCCCCCAGCCCAGGCCAGCCCCAGCCCAGCAAAACCAAGCCCAAAGCCAGTCCCAGCCCAAAGCTGATCCCAAAGCCAGTGCAAATCGAACCCAGACTCAGTCCTAGCCCAGCTCATGTCCCTCAGAAGGGACATAGGTCAGTCTGGACCTGGAACCCATGCTTTCATGCCTGTATGTGGCTAGATGCTACGTAGCAAGCCAAGTCTGTGAAGAGCTCCTCCTACAACAAGGATTCAGGCACAGCAAGGCTGCTGGGGGCCTGCGGTGCCTTGGGCAGTCAAATTCTTGGTGGTGCACAGCAATGCCACATCCAACACAGATCTCACACCCTCTTTGTGAATGCAAGTGATAACCCAAGGTGCAAGAAAGACTGAGATCAAGGTCATCAACATTTACCTTCTCTTTACCATTAGCATTTGCAGACTGGGATGGGATACAGCTCCGTGAAGACATTTATAAAAGCAAAAAAAAATATATTGCTTATACCTTCTCTTGTGTTGTATTGTCTATGCTGGACACTTCCCTGCTGGAATGCTCAGATTTGGTGTGCGAGAATATGGGTACAAGTATAGATGGGTACTGCAGCCCGGGCAGGTAGTAGAATCTCAGTAAGGAGAAGGTCTCCAGCCCCAACATTGCTCCAGTGGCCATGCCTACTGTTACCCTACAGCATGGCTGACCAAACAGCCCAGGAGATATGCAATATTGACATAAATGCATGTGGCTCCTTTTGCTCCAACAGCACTTGCCTGCATCACTGGGCCTCATGCTTTCCAGCTAAAACATTGTGGAAAGTCACAGCCTGCAGCAAAAATACCTAGTCTCATTTTTCACCATGTATTCTTCAGCCTCCAGGATATTGCTTGTCTGGAGTCCCAGGGAAGGAAAGAAGACAGAGGAATGACTCTGCTCCCTTTGCTCTCCATCCCTTCCCCCCATCCCTGTGATGCATTCCTCCAGATGTCAGGGTAGACAGAGCTGTCTTCAAACAAGCCCAAGACCTGCGGCATAGTTTCTTCATATGCTCAGCTAGTCCAATTAGTCAGATTTACTGCAGTTGTGAAAGGCAGCTCTGCCTCTCCTGTAGAGCAAGGCTGGCCTCATGTTTTACACCTTATGTGTTTAGAAGGTGTAAAACTGCTCTGCACTACATAATTTCAGAGACACAACACGCGCTAACCGTGCAGTGCTTTTTATAGTGGACCAGTTCCCCAGAAAGCTCTGGGAATTGTCTTGAGGCTCCTTCCCCATCAACAAGACCACAGACACCTATGATCATGGATCTACATATCCACCCTCAGCCATCTATGCTTGCCCACACACAGCTACATGTAGACCGCATACACACATGTTGGTAATCAGGGCTACACTCAACCACCATAGTCATGCCACTGCTGCATCCTGAGCTATTGCTTCAAACCAATGAATGATCACAACAATGTGCAAGAGGTCTTCCTGAGACCTTTCCTACTGGGTGTTAGTCTGCCTGGAGCCACTCAGGTGAAGTCTGAACAGAACCCTATAAATTATCTGGAAACAATGGTCCCACTAACAAGTGATGGTTGATGGGACAAGTGTCCTCCCCTACCAGACTAAAATGCCTCCTTACCTCAGAAGAGAGTACAGATGTTGTGGTAAAAATAGAAAGATAATAGAGAAGACTTAAAAGCTTTATAACAACTACCGCCTCTTTTTAAGCCTGTTGCTAAAGCAAGTGTGGGACGTCATACAGTGTGGAACAGTACTGTTTCAGGAAAAAAATATGCCATTAAACACAGTAGTTATGCCCTTCTATTTACTGAAGTTTGAGAAGTGTTTCCGTGCTAGCTCTCTGTGCTCTAAGTTGTCTAAAAAAACAAACGAACAAACAAACAAACAAAACAAAACAAAACAACAAAAAAAAAAACTACTACTTAGGGCTTCATTAGGTGATTTTTTTCTCTGAACATTTCCATGGCAAAATGGAGGAAATATCTGAAAAATCTAACTAGAGTTTGAACTGTTAGGTGCTAAAAGGTGCTTAAGTAAATAACAGTGAAAGAAATGATGTTTATATTGAAAGTCTGTAACAGCTCTGGTTCAGTGGCACCCAGGCACTGAGAAAAAACATCCTTAGATTTCTCTCTTATTGGTAGGGGTGGAGGAAGCAGCAGTCAATATTTGCAGTTCATGAATTTCCTATGATCAAGAAGGAGATATATGAGTAGAATAAGATATATGTGAATATACATAGAACAAGTTACAGGTATTGAATAAGATATAAAACAAGTTATAGGCACAGAACAAGATAATAAATAGGTAGATAAAAACTTAACCACAAGGAGCACCATTTGTCGTTCCCTCTGCCCTTCAAATACAAGGATTGGGATTCCCATTTTGCTCATATGTTTAGTGACAGCGGTACTATTAATAATAATAAAAATATTTTTATTATTAAGTCTGTGGTTCATAGCTGTTCCTTGATGTTCTATCTAAGGTATTCACAAACAAAGGGTGAGACAGTTCCTTCCTGAAGGAATTAATAGGAAACACACAGGACCAGTTATTTCCCAAGTTTTCCAAGTAATAAATACACGCACAAATAAGGAACCTGTGCATTTAAAATCATACAAGGAGTAACTGGCAAAGCCAAGAGCACAACCCAAGTGTCTTGAGTTTGGATATGACAACAGGTACCACAGCAGGTAATTCCACCAGTGTTTTGAACATGTGATCTCTTGTTTCTAAACAAACAAAGCAAAACAAAACAAAAGCCAACACAGAAGTCTCAGTCTCTGGGTCATGAGACCTTGAGGGATATCTCAGTGAAAGTTTGGTACAAAAGAGCTTCTAGCATCTCTGGGATACATAAAATATTGATCAAGTAACGTAGTATTTCTGTAACATGGGTTATGAAGAGTGTGAAAAAATGAAGGGAGTAAGGTAAGGGCATTTTCAGAAATAATAGTCATAAATTATTGCTAAAGCACTAAAAACAATGGTGAATTGTTTTCCTAAATTAAGTGCTTTCCATCACCATCCTTTCAGCAGCCATCAGACCTTCAGCTAAAGTCTGGCTTTTCCCTGCTTTATACCTGTGTCTTCATCAAAGAGAATTTTCCAGAAAAACATCAAGCAGCAACAACATTGTGCTGCTCACCTGAACAGGTAAAGATCCATCTTCCTATTGCAGAGGATGCAAGTACCCTGTTACCTTTCTTGTAGGCACCTAACAGCTTTACACACCACCTGCAGGCAGGGCTCCGTTGGATGTAGCAGACAGGCAAACATGAAAGGCAGCCTTTCTGCAGCTCTGCATAAACCTTAGGCTTACTTGGAGGTAGACTTAAACTTTGCCAGAGTAAACAGAGAGATGAGGCACCTAACAGGATTGAGTGGTATGCTAGGTGGGTCAATGAAGTATCAGCATCCTGGAGCATGTTCCCCGTATCACTGGTTGATGGAATATGTTGAGAAGATACGTGGAATTAGGCAAATATGTTCCTGTCCAAAGACCAGAAGTGATGTAATATCTGTGGAGGTCCTTCTTTAGGCAAATCTGCTCAGGATGCTGTCTCTTGTTGAGGAAAGGACACTCTGCCTTGGTGTGTCCAGCTAACATTAAATGTGAATATGAAGAACTGGAAGCAGCAAAGGAAGACAGTTTGTTAGAGCCTGAGGAAACATAAGGATCTAGAAGAGAAGCAATGTGGCCATGAAAACTGAGAAAAAAAGTCAATATTACCTATCAGCAGTAAACACTACCCTCAGAAACACATAGGATTTGAGCAGTTTAAAATGGAAGGGACTCAGATGGTTCATTCATGGTTTGGAGAAGGATTTCTTCAGCTCTTTACATACTTTCCAATAAGGATTTACTTTAGGACTGAGGACTAGAGCCATCAAAAAACTAATTTGCTATTTTACCTACATTTTAGATACTAAGACCAAAATATGGGTCTTCAAAACAACAAATTCAGAGGTTTCTGGGACCTGAGACCCCCCAAAGGTCCATGGTACTGAGGCACACTCCTTCTCGGTTTCTATTTCTGGCTATGCCCCGAACTGCCCAAATATGCAATTCAACATCTAGCATCCAGGTAAGGCACCCTCCAGCACTGAAACAGAGCTGATATGGAAATCTAGCACTCCGGTGCCATTGCTTAGTGCTGCACCATGGATCACAGGTCTCTTATGTTCTCTGCCTTCCCCAACACACAGAATTAGGCATCTGAATCCCCTCCATCAGCATCAAGCACAGGTCATCCATCTCTTCATGTGTGGTTTGAGTTAGCCTCTTCACATCACATTGACCATGGGGTAATTCCACCAAGGGCAGCTGCACCACAGCAGGAAAGGTTTTAGTTCCTCGGTCTCACACTCATCAGTGGCTCGGTACATTGAAACACATAGTGAGAGCAAATCCAGGAGACTCCATGGTCCCGTCACCTTCCCAAGGCTCTTCATTTCTTTCTGCTGGTAGATTCTGACAGAAAAAAAGAAGAGAAGATAAGAGAAGGAAAAGTTACAAAAGTTATAGCACCATTCTGGGTTATGCCAAGGGGAAAGACAAGTGTGTTTTCAATGCCATTAGAATACTCCTTTTCTGGACTGTTATTAGAAGAAACCAGAGGATCCCCTTCCGTGCCTCGGTACCTACAGCAGGCAAATTTGCAGTGGGTTGTACCACAGCATTAGCACAATACAGAAGGCCATTCATATTGATGTTATAAAGGCAACAGGAATTTTATTGAGGAATGCCTCAAAAAATGCCAGTAGACAAACCTCTGGATGCCTCTTTTTTTTTTCTTTTTTTTTTCCTCTTTTCTTCTTTTTGAGCATACTAAAACTGGTCTGAAAGAATCAATATTGCCAAACCAGACAGACCAATGTGATGGAAGAGACCTCAATAAAAAGAAAACCGTCACTCAGCAGCACATGGAGATACCTGTGAGTAAAAGTTTGAAATTGTACCCTTTGGGATAACTGCCATTTACTCTTAGAAAATACATTTCAAATTAATGTTTGATGTAGAAGTTAGAAGTATTTGTTCAGGTTAGTATGAAAAATCCCCGGGATAATTTTAGCATGTTCATATTGGATTTTCACTTTACAGCAGAAAAGACTGAAAGTAAGTCTGTTCGCTTCACAGACAATATATTCTTCACCCGTGTGAGATGGATCATAGTCCTTGGTGAGAAATGACTGCCATTTTAACGTTTCATGGAACTAAGGTAGTCAACTGTAGACGTCTTTTTTTTTTTTCTTCATTTTTCTACTCATTTCAGTAGGAGCAAATAGGACTCACATGTGTAAAGGTACGGGGCCAACAGGGACCTTCAACTCTCAAAATCTCACAGGATCTCCAAGCCAAAGCACACTCAAAACACATATTCCCTTTTGGGAGGACATCATGATTTCCTCCTGAGGCTGAGCAAACAGTTCAAGATTTTCAGAGAGAATTAAAAAATAAATAAATAAAGAAAATTAAAAAAAGAGAGAGAGAGAGAGAGAGAGCAGTGGAAGGAGAAGTTAAAAGGCAGGGAGGACCAGCAACTCACATGAATCTTCACCAGATACCTGTCAGAGTCTAAAGAGAGCTTTCCCTTGGCTTCAGTGCACTTGGAATCAAATCTTAACCAATATGCTATTCGTCTTTCAAAAACAGCCTGTGGCCACATTGATGTGATGCTGGGCAGTTACTGGGGTGTGGGTGGGTGCCATCTCTGCCGTTGTTGTAATACAGCATTGCCTGAGGCAACACTGACATCTCTGTCCAATGCACAACTTTTCTGAGTAAACAGCAAATAAAGTCTCCAGGTTTGGGGTCATAGAATCACTTCATGGTTTGTTATTTGCTTGATTTATAAACTGTAGTGTCAGGAAGTGAATAACAAGCCCTTTTTATTTTTTCCCAGTGTCTGATGGACAGAAATTTCCCAGCCACCAAGACCTCGTTGGTAGGGAAATCCTCTTTCTCTGTTGTCTCTCTAAGTGTCCACACATGCTCTAACCAGTCACTCCATTCAGATTTCAAAAGCTTTCTCCAGCTGCATGTCTGCAGTATTTGGGATTTTTTCCCCCATGGGATGCCAATTACCTGTAGTATCACCTGAGATATCACTTCAGTCTCTCCTTTTTCCACCTCTTCACCAATTTGACATTTTAATTACTGAAGTGCTTTTATTCAGTACTTTCAATCATTATTCTGTTTGTGGAGCTCCAAAAAATTCACCAATAGAGGGGCAAATTTGTGCTGCAATTTACGGTCTGTTGTTGTCAGATAAATCTTTATAGGCTCATTAGTGGTAATTCACCCACTCCATGGCTGTATCAGTTACAGTAAATTAGAAGTGTCTGTGATGGTTCTCTGGCACTGGGACCAGAGGGACAGAAACACAGGACCACCTTCACCGATCACACTGAACTTACTTGAAGCCCAGAAAAGGTGGGCTACATCTTAAGTATCTGCTGGGGAAAAGTTCCTGATCCCCAAAGCTGTGACAAAAATTTGTTCAGGACAGTAGTAGTAGGCCAGGTCAGACCCATGCCAGGGTCGATGCTTCAGATCTAAAAACCTGGACAGTAGATTAAACCTGTCTATTTCCAAATGCCTGTTTGAAAATCATTGTTTAATTAAACACAAGTGATTGTATTCAGTAAAACATAGCTGGGTGTCGGGTAAGAGATTTTCCAGGACAAACTACACCTAATAAATCATTTGGGACTTGAAATTTCACAAGAGGAATGAGCCTGCTTTGACATCTCTATATACAGGGGGTCATAGAGGGCTGGTAAAGCTGTTGTACTGAGCCTGGAGAAGCTTGGCCTGATAGTGCTTGCTGCAGATGCAGGGACTGATGAAGAGGTGAGCAGAGAGAAGACGGCTATGGGATGTCCTTTCTTGGGTGAATTATGGTCAAGAAACTGACTACCACTTAGGAGAACAGCTTGGCACTACCTCGGTGTCCCAATATACTAAAATCTCTAAGTGGGTATCAAGAAACACAGTAGGATGAGGCAGGTGCATCCCAGTAATCAAATAGCAACAAACAATGCATTTGCACTCAGAGCCTTAATAGCAGGAGAAGCTCTATAACATTCAAAACCATGAGATGCATTGGGCTGCCCAAGATCTTGGACCTCTGTTACAGCCATTGCTCTGCACAAAATTTGCAGAAAAGCAGCTAATCTACATGTGGTTATAAACTGGGCAGCTTCATTGCCTGCAACATGACTGCTGAGGATGCTCAGTGAGCAAAAACACCTTTTTTTGAATTCTCCCTTGTTTCTGTTGAGTTAAGCCCTAGATCTGCTACCCTGAAACAATAGCTCCTGTAAAAACAGCCTCCCTACATAATAACAAGGTTGTTCAAGGAAAATCTTTGCTGAATCTATTTGGAACATGCAACATCTTTAGAGAACTGACATTGCTTATGGTTATTTTTTGTTTATTTTTATCGCATGCATGTATTTTTTATGGTTAATATTTTCATCTTTCTGCATCCAGGGATGCACTTCACAGGAAACTGAATAATGGGACATCTTCCCTTCTGTTTCCTCCTGTTCATCATGACATGGCATTTTTTTCTCAAAAGAAATCCAGGCTGCCACTGCCTCCCTCCTCCATCCATCCCACCCACACACTTTGAAAATCCTGGGCAATGCAGATTTCATTTAAAGTTTACAACCAGTTTTGTCCATGTGACTCAGATCAACATATTGACATGCCATCAGAGGGTTATTTTGCTTCTTTGGTGCTCCTGCAAGGGTTAATGTTCACATCCCTCTCCATCTAAAGAATAAGTTGCCTATCTCACCCCCACCGTGAAATTAAGCGCAATCACAATCACCCTTCATCCTTACCTTGCAAAGTCTTGGCATGCCAAGTCAGAAGCAGAGTCTGTGCATCCTGAGTTGCTAAATGAACTTAAAAACATATATTAAAAAATTAAAAATTAAAAAAAGGAAAACACCCACCAACAATCTCACTGCCTCAGTAAGGTCTCTTGCGAAGATGGTTTGTCTGTGGAAGCGAGGGCTAGGAACAAAGTTGTGGGGTGGAGGGGGAGGAGAACATGATTGACAGCCCTGAGCTGAGACTCATCCCTTACCTTGGGCCATGCGGTCTGATTGGCTGCCTGCTGACATCCCCAAGCCCTGCACTTTTTAATAGACGCTTTTGGATGATCTACAGGGAAAAGGCTTGGAGAGGTGTGTTTCTGACAAGCCAGAAAGTCATCCGCACTTCAAGGGACTTTGTTTAACTCTTTTTTTTCTTTTTTTTTTTCCTTTTTTTTTTTTTTTTCCTGGAAGGGGGGCTGTTCTTCATTTTCACACTTAATGTTTTTCTGAAAACTTCGCTGAGATTTTCCCCTTGCACCAGCCTGGACTAATGGATTACCACCTGCTTGGATTAATTTTATCTTTTCTCTTCAGTGGCACAAAGGTCTTAGCCGGTTACCCAATTTGGTGGTAAGATTTCTTCCCCCCTTCCCTCTTTCTATGATTGATTAATGAATTAATTAATTATTAGCTATGGGATTTTTGTGTATGCGTGTTCCTTCCTTTTCAACCTTAGCACTGCTGAGCTGGCCATGATTGCATGTTTGATTCTAAGCATAATTTCTTCAGATTTGACTGGTAATTAATGAAAAGTTTGGGGATTATTTTTAAAGGGCAATGTCTTCGTTTCCTTTTGCTCAAATGGAGTCTTCCCCACCACTCTTAATTTCTCCATTTTCATCACTGTAGAAATAGGCATTTGTTTTAAATGTTAAGGGATGTGTTTTTATTTTCTTGTGCAATATAAATTTTGTCTGTTGCATGACTGTTTAGCAGGTATTTTCTTCTTTTCCATTAAACTGTGATCAATGTTTATAAAAAAAAAATATTCTATTTTCTTTTCGGCTGCTGCAGTTTTTGGACTTCTTTCTCTTCTTTTGTTGTATTCTGTTATGTGAATTTAGTCCAGCAAATAAGCTGAGAACACAAATGGCACCTGAGAAAATATTCATTAGCAAAATTCCTCAAAGATGGGTTTTATTCTTTCTAATTATGGAAATTTCGCTTATTTTCTTGCACTAACAATAAAAATAACAATAATAAAATAATTGGTTATATCTTATAATGTGGCTGTTAAATTATCTGAGTTGCTTATTTTAAAAATAAATAAAACAATATAAATAACTATATAAACAAAAGGTAATTGGGAGCAGTTTAAAATAAAAAAATAGGGACTACAACATTTAAGGTCATTTAAACACAGCAGACAGCAAGTTGCATAACAGAGTATTTCAGATAATTTCTGTCTTTATCATGTACGATTTCTCATTGGAATATATCTCATTAAGTTTTGTGTGTGCCAGGTAGGGTCTATAAGCCTAAAGATCCGTAGGGCAAAGAGGGAGATGTTGGAATTGGCACTACTGAGATTCTTCAGTTATTTTCGCCTTTCCAGAAAAGTCTTTTTTTTTTTTTTTTTTTTTTTTTTTTTTTTTATTACTGAATTAGATCGTTTCAGTGCCAACATGGAGATGGCAAGAAGTAGGCGGGAGTGAACTTGGAAATGGACTGCCATATCTGGGAATATTTAGAAATGTGAAAGGAAAGCTAATTTTTTAAATAATCTGCTTATTATCGTGGACTTTGAGAATGAAAATGTGCAGTTCCAGAAGAGAAAGACTAAGCATACAATGAGAAGTCTTCGCTCAGGAAGCGTTTAAAAGCTATGCAGGTTCATGAAATGGCTAAATCACAGCATGTTTTCCCAAAGAATTAAATGATTTCCTCGCCCTGAGCGTGGCTGCTTAACTTCAAGGCTTAAGCCTGGGGCAGGGGACCCTACTGAAATAAAGACCACATCACTTTGATTCCTGGTATCTCTTTTTTCCTTAATCTGGGGACCAGCGTGTCTGAGTGGGGGTGCGCGGTGGGTTGTAGCACAGGTCAAAATTGCGTGGCTGGATCTAAAGGCAACAATCTGCCACTGGAAACTGGATGGGGCAATGGTTCCTGGCACTGGCGTCAGCCCTCCAGGGTTTTACTGGTCCCTGACCTGCCTCAGGCTCAGATACAAATTAGGATTTAACACCTGAATTGGGAGGAATTTGACTCTCAGAGAGAGGAACCCAAATCTCCTTGACAAAAAGGTCTGATTTTCCCTGTGAAGTGAAAATGTCCCCATCACCAAAATGCTTTTCCCTGTTTTCAGGAGAAGACACTGCAGACAGGTGTCTGCACTATGTGCCTTCCCCCAAACCGCAGAAGTTCACCCAAAATGAACAATACAGAGGACACGTAAGATTGCTGGTCATGGATGGAAATACCGAGGGCATGGCAAGCAGTGTCCATGGGAAAGGTGGGAGTCAAACAAACTACTCACAGAATTTTGTTCAATAAATCTGCATCTGGCGTATCTGGGGCAATTCTGGCAATATCCAAAGTGCTGAAGCATTTTTACTGCACTAAAATGGTGTGGTGAGATGCCCTGTATAGGGCTGAAGGATAAGGGAGAGGCTATCAGAAACAGCAAAGGGTTTTCAAGGTTTCTTGAAGGCTGAAGGAGCAGGAGAGAAATACTGGGGGCCATGGTTTCCTGATTGCTCAGGCAGAGACAATGCTTCTTACAGCATGCAAAATTAGAAGTCTTCTTCAGTCTCACCAAAGGTTTAAATGTTTGCCCTGTGGAGATGAGTTTTTATGTATTGTGTGTTCTAGCATACTGTGATATACAGTGTGAAAAAACACGTGCTTTTCAGGTTGTCTTTTCAATCCACCGCTCTTCAGGCAAGCATAGAGCAGCCTTTGGGGGATGAATCCCATTTGCGGGGTTCAACATGCCCCAAGACACAGGAAGGGAAGCAAAGATGGGGAATGGATCAGCCCAGTCCCCTGCACTGGGTTCCCACAGCTGTCCAAGCCAGGCTGGACAGGACATCATTAATGCTTTCTTATCCTTGTATAAATCCATCTCTGCTTAATCCGAGATGTTCGGGAATGCTGTACTGCTTGCAGAACCCCGAAACTGCTGACAGTGCCCAGTCATGCTAGGGCAACCTTTCTAGGTATATTTCTCCTGTATGGGAAATATTTCTGCAGCAAAATCAAAATGGATAATTTCTGCTTTGGGGCATAAATGGGGAAAAAATATTCCTGTAGTGAGGAGGAAGTGTCTGAACATGCTAAAGGAGAAGAAGTGCAATAAGAACAGGGTCGTGGCACCTCCTAAATGGGCTCAGGGATGGCTGTAATAATCCCACTGCTCCACAGTGCAGTCAGATGATGCAGGCAAGCAGGAGAGCAGTGACAGTGTGATAGAAGGGGTAAAAGCAAAAAGACGAATCTGCAGAGGACTTTTATTTTCACTGAGTGCTCAGGAAAGGATCCGTCCCCTCTGGTCATACTATCTAGAGAGTGCACAGTTCAACAGCAACCTTTCAGCTCACACGCCATCATGTTAGAGAGTGGATTCTGTTCCCGGCCTCAGTGGTGAAATGCTACATGCCAGGCAGAGAGATTTGGCATGGGGAGCATGTAGGTGAAGTCTGAAAAGGTGTTATGCAAAAGAAATGACTTTGCGGTGCATGCCCAGGTCTGCAGTGCCGAGGCCTCCTGGTAGCAGCGGGATGTTGGAGCTGCTGGGCTGTAAAGCCAACAGGGACAGGGCCTGGGGTTCACAGCCCGTGGTGTTCAGTCGCCTGTCCCTTAACAACCAGAATTCTTCCAGACTATGCCTGAGCAAGATCCAGGGGTAGTACAGACTGTAGAAGTAGTTTTCAGTGAGCAGGGGCTGCTATTTTGCCATAGGGCCAACTTTTCACATGCCTTTATCCTATTACAGCAGTGAAAAGGAACAAATGGGGCACAGATGGGAAAAGGTTGTCTATGTGCTACCTTTGAGAATGCTGACATGAGGAACTGAAGCCAGTAAAAGCTTCCACAGATATGTGTCCAATGCTTACACTGTCTGGGTTACCGCTGCTAAAAGGGAGACAAAGAAGGAAAAGATGGAGAGATGTGGTGAAGCCATGGAGAGCCAGGACTGCTGTCCTTCCTGGCCATGCAGTGATGGCACAGATGGAAGAAAAGTGAGCAGCGAGGCCAGGGCTGGCACATGAGCTCCACAGCCAGCAGCCTTGGGTCATGCCAACAGACCTCTTAGGCACCAGCTGACAGGAAGATGGTGACACCAATCACACTTGCAGTCAGTTTTTTTAATCCCAAATGCTCTGCTAACAGCAGGGATAACAGCATATGTGTGAGATGGGGAGGATCAAGGTATGACAGATTTGTCAATGAAGCATATAGACAGAATGACAGCTGTACCAAAAGCTTTCTGGTAATGCCCTGAAAAATTTAGATGAAGGGGAAAATATGTCCCCTGCCCAGAGCTGTGTCAGTGCAGTCTGACAGAGATATTGAGGCCCAAGAAACAGCTAGAAAGTGCTGCCAGAATGCTAATATGTGTGCAGGGGCTGAAGAAGACAATCAGGGAGACAACTCCACCCATGAACTGAGAGAAAAAAACGAAAAACAAAAAAAAACACCAAATGCTCTCCTCTTCCATCAGCATCATTCACCTTTGAATGGGGCAAGAATTCTCAAAACATTTGGCATGTGACTAGCCTGGGAAAAGGAGCCAGATTTGGAGCCAGTGGTGAAAACAGTAGGTAAAGAAATCAGCCCCAATCCTCTCAGGGCTCCTGAGGACACAAAATCAATTGGTCACTCCCCATAGCTGTGGCTCTCACCTACATATACCTACATATTCCCATCCAGTATTTTTTTGCCTCTAAGTAGATCATTTGGCAATTGGCAGAATCACTTTGTCCATGATATGTTATTAAATTTTATTTCCATCCTTTAGACATGTTTCCAAGAGAGTCTCGAGGCTTTGGCAGCTCTCTGAGGATCCCGGTGGCCTTGGGCCCCTAGAAAGAGGCAGACAGAAACTTAAAATCATGTTCTCACTAGTCCCACAGTAGCTCCTCATTAGGAAAAACACATGTGAAAAGCATTTGCATGTAGATGCAGTTTGAGGTGACATGTAGCTTGTCTTCTTTAGCTTTCAGTGTCTTACCTTTTTGGAATGAACGGGAGACTTCACACTCTTGACAGTCTCTGAAGGTTCATACATTTATATCCTGTAGCCTGTGGGTTATATGCATGCAGCCCTTAAAGCTTTGTTCAAAAGGAATACTTAAAATTGCATTGCAGAATCCACTACAAGAGTGGATTTCCTGATGCAAATCCAGCTGCTGCAGCACTACAAAGGAAATAGAAGACCCCCACATATAATCTTCCCATGGCTTAAAATGCATCCAGTTCTGGGGGAAAATGAATAAGGTAATAATGGAAAGTGTCAGTGACAGAGCTGACGGCACTTATCCTGCAAGCCCAGCGGTGCTGTTCCCACTCCTGTTCTGGCACCTGAAACCAAAGTCCCTCCACCAGCAGCTTGCACTAGCACACAA